GTAATTTGAAAGTTGTTGGTAAGCAGGTAATTGGCCTGTAGTTACCTGGTGTTGCCCCTTTTGCTGGATTTTTCATTATTAGGTAGGTTTTCCCAGTTGTTAGCCACTTTTCAATTTCTCCTCCTTGTAGTATATTGTTGAACTGTTTGGCAATGAGTGGGTGTATAACAGTTAGATGTTTCAACCAAAACCCATGCAGTTCATCTTCACCTGGTGCTTGACCAATTTTTGATTTTCTTTGCTCTTTTTTCTACCATTTTTGTTGTTATTGCTAGTTCTTTCATTTCAACTTCTGTTTTATTTGCATCCACCTCTTTTAACCAAGCCGCATCCTTGTTGTATTTCTTTGGGTTATCCCATATCTGCTTCCAGAACTGCACTGTTTCTTCCTTGTCAGGTACTGACTGATTCCTTGCAGTTTCTCCATTGATGGATTGGTAGAAACGTTTCTGATTGGATTGAAATTGGAGGTTCTGCCTATAGTTTGCAATTCGAGCTTCATATCTACTGATTTTCCTGGCTATAGCTGTTATTTGTTGCTTTATTATTTCCAGTGCTTCCTTGATCTTCCTTGTTTCTAAGTGGTATTTCTTGATTAGGTATTCTTTGGTCTTCTTGTTCTTCAGCTTCTTTTCTTTCATCTGTTCTAGCTTGCTTGCATGTGATCTTAATTTGCTGATCTTATTTTCTAGTCTAACCTTCCATTTTTCTGGTGCACTGTTTGTTTGTTTTTCTTTTTGTTGATTTTGCCATCCCAGGTATTCTGTTATAACTGCAGCTGTGCTGTACATTAGTTGGTTTGTTTCTTGCAATGAATTGGTGCTTATACTTGATATTGCAGTATTTGCATCTTTTAATGCTTGTGCTAGCTGTTTCTTTGGAACAAGCTTCAATGCAGGTAGCCTTATTCTGTTGTTTTTGTGCTGTTCTAGATGCTCAGTTATTCTTTGTTTCAATTCTTTTATTTCTTTAGTTAGAGGGTTTTGTTCTTCCTGATGTAGAGGTGCCTGATTTCCAAATGAGAACAGTTGTATATCTCTGCTAGATTCCTTCACTGCCAACTCCCCCTGGTTTGCCTCTACATTCTGAATTACTTCTGGTAAAGCTTTGATTTCTTTGCCCTGGGTAAACCTTTGCAGTTCGTCCAATTCTGTTTCTGTGAATATTTTATTTCGTGTTATAAATCGGCGTTGATCTGCTAGTCTCTGTTCTGTTATTTCTGATTCTGGATGTTGTTCTTTCCAGAACTGGTGCATTCGTTTTAGATATCCTCTTCTTGTTGGACTTGATCTGTAGTAACAGATCATTAGTTCTTTGTTTTCCATCACTGTGTATCTGCGACGGGTAAACACCTTTTCTTCCAGTAGTTCTGCAGCTGCTGGCCCTGGTTGCTCAGCCAACAGTCCTTAGTCCTGTAACCCATTTTTCACCAGATATCCAGGAACTCCAATATCTAGTGCGGACCTTGTTAACCCGGGCGACGTCCGAGCCGGTATGGCATTCTGAAATTTACGTCTCACCATATTTTTTATGGGAGAGACACTCTTTGTCTGACTCCTCTGATGATACCTGTCCAGTATGGTTGAACCTCTGGCATAGCTCTCATCTTCCTCAGAGTACACAAGCCCCACAACCACGTCAAGGTAGTGCCTCACTGGGGGATTATTATTATTATTATTATGGATCATCGCACAGTCAGCCAGATGTTCAGACTGGATTTGGCATTTTATCTACCTATTGAGTCCTTACCAAGGACCTGGGATAGGCAGATGTGGATGTTTGATGTTATTACAGATATCGTCTCAGGATGGAAGCAGTTCCTAGTAAGGCTGCCTTTTGCAATTGACTAATGGCGAATTTGTCAATGCCAATGGTGTTCAAGTGGTGCTCCAGTTGTTTTGGGATCGCACCCAAGGCACCTATTACTATTGGTACTACCCTTGCTTGCCTTTGCCACAGTCCTTCTATTTCTGTTTGTAGGTCTTTGTATTTTGTTATCTTCTCCAGTTCTTTCTCGTCTATTCTGCTGTCTCCAGGCACTGCCACGTCCACTATCCAGACTTTTTTGTCTTTCTTATCGACAATTGTTAAGTCTGGGGTGTTATGTTGCAGGTGCTTGTCTGTTTGAATTCTGAAGTCCCAGAGCAGTTTAACTTTGTCATTTTCTATGACTTTCTCTGTTTTATGATCCCACCAGTTCTTGCTTGCAGGCAAATGATGTTTCTTGCAGATCTTCCATTGCACCATTGTTGCTACTTTGTCATGCCGCTGCTTGTAGTCAGTCTGCTTGTTTGTTTATTATTATTATTATTAACAATAACAATATGTAAGAATGAAACCTGGGGAGGATTTTGGTGTAATCCTCAATTCACAGCTAGTTATTTTGTGATCATTCAAACTTACAACAGCATTGAAAAAGTGACTTATGACAGGTTTTCAGTTATGACTGTTGGAGCATCCCCACAGTCACATGATCAGAATTTGAGTGCTTGGCAACTTACATGTATTTATGACAGCTGCACTGTCCCAGGGCCATGTGATCACCATTTGTAACTTTCGCAGTTGGCTTCTGACAAGCAAAGTTAATGGAGGAAGCCAGATGTGCTTAACAACTGCATGATTCACTTAACAACTTCAGTGATTTGCTTAGCCACTGTGGCAAAAAAGGACGTAAAATGGTGTGCAACTCACTTAACAACTGCCTTGCTTAGCAATGGCAATTTTGGGTTCAATTGTGGTCATAAGTCAAGGACTATATTCAAAATCAAAAAAAGTATAAAAAAGCAAGGTACTGTAGTAGAACAAGTTTGCTACATCTGAATAAAAAAAACAGTGAAAAAACCAAAAAAGTAAATTACATCATCGCTTTCCTTTCTATTTGTATCTTCAGTTATAGGCCACCTTTTAGATATTTGAACTTTGCTTCAAACTTTGGTAATTGTTTTTTTTTTACAAATTTTATTAAATGTACATTTTAAAAACAAAAATGGATATGATTCAACTTCCCTGGCTTCAACAGTGCTATTAGTATTACCTTATGTTACAGAAAGAAAAATAAAAACTTAAAATACATTCTATAACAGGACAGAGTATAACAAACTGTGTGTATAACATCTGTAAATTTTTTGATAAACCATCTTTCAATCATCAACGTATTTACATATCATTCAGTTGTGTCCTAATATAAGTACTAATAAAAAGTCCTTATAATGTCAACTCGTCAATTGATAATCATCTCAGCGATCCTCCTTATCTCTAACCAATCGTACAAATTTTTCCAAATTTCATAATACTCTGTTTCAGTTTTATTTTTCATCTCTAGAGTTAACCTGTCCATTTCGGCACAGGATAAAATTTTATTTATTATTTCTTCCTCAGTGGGGGTTTCCTTTCCTTTCCATTTTTGGATGTATGCCAATCTTGCTGCGGTTAAAATATGTAATAGTAAGTAGAAAGATGCTTTGCTAAGTTTATCATTAATAATCCCTAATAAGAATATTTCTGGTTTTAAATCAGTATTTGTAATAGTATTTCTTCTAGCCAATTTTTTATCCAATTCCCAAAATTTTGCACCTTTGAACATTCCCACCACACGTGATAGTAAGTCCCTGGAAGCCTTCTACATTTCCAGCATGTTGGTGAGGTTTTTTTTATCTATTTTTGCTAGCCTTGTAGGGGGAAGGTGCCATCTATAAAACATCTTGTATAAATTTTCTTTGTAGGAGGTGACTAGTGTTAACCTCCTGTTTCTATCCCATAATGATTGCCAATTATCTAGGTCAATACTGTAACCAAAATTTTTACTCCAGATGAACATTGTTTCTTTTAAAACTTTGGTAATTGTTGTTAGTTTCTTTTTGAATCCTAAAAACTACATTCCAGATGTCTAATTTGCCTTGCTTTGTATATAAGGGAACCATTCTTACTTGAATTTATTTTATTTCATTCATTAAATTTCTATTGTACAGGTAGTCCTTTATTTAGGACCATAATAAGGACCAGGAAATTTATCATTAAGTCACACGGTTGTTAAGTAAGACATCATGTTTCTGTGACTTGCCACCTCGTCCCAGTTTCCCAATTGACTTTGCTTGTCAGAAGTTGGCTAAGAAGATCACAAATGGTTTATTTGAGGCAATAAAAGTCTGACAGTTCTTTGCTAGACTCAAGTTGTTCTTAAGATCAAACCTAAGGGCTTCAGAAATTTTCTCTATCCTTCTTCCCAGTTTTGTTTCATTTCAGCTCCAGATAGCTGATCCAATTTTAAGACCTGTTATCCTGGAATTAGTAGCAAAGCATTAACTAAGTTTTTTCCCCCTCCAGATCTAAGAAATGAAAAATGCCTTGTTAGATTAGATTAAACTATGGCTTGTCCACTCCAGTGTTATGTTTGTACTCAGTCATTTGCCTTTGGGCACTTGTAGGCAGGGTTTTGAGAGTGATTGCATTTATCTTTGTCTTGAGGTATAGTTCCTTATTTGTACACTGACATTTTCATTGCTTTAGTAATAGTAGATAGCACAATTAAAAGGAGAAGCCTTTGGACCTTTCTTCATTGTCCGGAAATTATAAAGAATGCCAAAAACTGATCTGATACCTTAAATCAGAAAGGTAGTAAGGTAGTAAGAGATATGAACTGAAAACTATGTTGTATTAGCCCTCAAGTTGTATACAGTAATGTCAACATGTTTTTGAGCTATATTAAAAAGTAGCAGAATACATTATATAAACTCCCCCAGGTCAGAGAAAATTGCATTACATATTTATCTACCCTAATACAAATAAACATTTTATGCTTTACTTTCTTCCTTTCTCTTTCCCTCTCTCACTAAATAAATTATTTCTGTTTAGCCTCTTGAACAAAAGTCAGATAACTCCCAGTAGCATATTTTCTGTCTTAATATTTCCCTCAGAACAGTGGGGCTCTTATTTTCTTTCAACAAAAAAAACCCCAACCTACTATCTGAACAATAACATTCATTTTCCTTTCTACATTTTAGGTACAAGGCCATTGTAAATCCAATGGATATTCAAGTATCCAATGCAGTCCTTTGGACATGTATTAAAGCAATCGGCATCTGGATTATTTCCATCTTGCTGGCAATCCCTGAAGCTGTTTTCTCTGAAGTGGCACACATTATTGATGCAGATAATGTCAGCTTCACAGAATGTATGCGCTATCCCTTGAAGGATGATCTGCACCCAAAGATTCATTCAGTGATGATACTTTTGGTATACCTTCTTATCCCACTCACCATAATTAGTATTTATTACTACCATATTGCAAAGACTTTAATTAAGAGTGCACACAATCTGCCAGGAGAATACAGTGAACAATCTAAAAAACAGGTAAGTTTTCCAGATCCATGGAATCCAGGAGATTTATTTTAAGAAAGTCTATGAGTTAAATAAAATTGTACGTTTAAATGAAATTGTACTGCTTCAGACAGGAAGGAGGTGCAGAAAGTGGTGAGGATGGCAGTTCACTCCCTTCTATATAGGATATAGCATATAAGTGTTGCTTAAGCAGGATCCGCAGGATTGTCTGGGACACTACACATCCTCTTCATGACCTTCTTTTCCTTGCTGCCTTCTGGGAGGAGGCTTCATGGTATCCGAAGCAGAACATCCAGATTCAGTCACAGTTTTGTTCCATACAGTATTAACCTTGTGAACTCTCAAGCTTCCTTTTTCCGCTATGTATTCAAGATGGACAGTGATTAATATTCATATGTATTTATATGTAAGGGTGTAGGTATATACATATGTTGTATAAAGCATGTTTATATGTGTGTTATGTATGTGTATACTTCTGAGAGCAAGCACAGAATTTCATTTTTAATGTGCGCCAGTGTGCCCACAGTAAAAAATGACAGTAAAGGCTATCCTATCCTATCCTATCCTATCCTATCCTATCCTATCCTATCCTATCCTATCTTATCCTATCCTATCCTATCCTATCCTATCCTATCCTATCCTCTTTAGTATACAGGTAGTTCTTGATTTAACAACCAAAACTGGAAGCAGAATTTTTATTGCTAAGCAAGGTGATTGTTAAGTGAATCATGCCTGATTTTACAACCCTTTTAGCCACAGTTGTTTAGCAAATCACTGCATTTGTTAAGTGAACCACATGGAATCCTGTCTCCCTCATTGACTTTGCTTGAAGGAAGTTGGCTGGGAAGGTCATATGGTGATCACATATCCCTGGGACACTGCAACCTTCAAAATGCAGTTGCCAAGCATCCAAATTTTGAAGTGGGAATGAAGTGAGGACTGGTTATAAATGTTTTTTTCAGTGTTGTTGTAATTTTGAATGATCACTAAACAAATGGTTATAAGTTGAGGACTACTTATGCATCAAATGCTTCTGTTTCTCAATTAATATAGCAAATGCCTGTGGTATGGTCTGGATCAAATCCATACTGTGGGAAATAAGGAATTCTTCATTATATAGGAGGCAGGAGATGGATCGGGAAATGTATTTTTCCTGAAATCGGACATGTCTTTTTTTTTTTTAAACCACTCGACACCAATGGATTTTTGAAAAACAAGTAGTAGAAAGAGCTAACTCTTCCATAGCAGAATGGTTCCAAGTGAAATCAAACCACTGTACATTTCAACTTCAGAAAGAAAAGGAAGGTATGAAGTATAAGCTGAGATCTTTCATAGATCAACAGGCAAGGACACTTAATTAAAAAACCCTCTAATATTACCAAGTAATTAACTAATTCTCAGTCCTGTCTCTCCCTTGTCATGAAAAATAGTGTTGCCGACACTACATTTATTTCAGGGTTAAAAAACAAAACTCCACAGGACAGAATTCTGATCACATTTTGCAATTTCATTAGAATGTCCACAGAGCAGATGTTCTACTAGATCCCTGCAGGCTTTTCTTCTGGTTTTAATAGCCTCAAAAATTTGCAGGATCTCTACATGCTGCTGCTCACCCAGGGTGTAAATCAGCTTGCATCAATGTAGATAATTTTCTGCAAAAAACCCGTTTTTAACTGAATACTGATGCATGTCCAGACTTTAAACCTAATACCTGTATCAGAGTTTTGTATGTTTAACTACAGATTAAATGTTAGGCATGAACAATATACAAAATGTCCCAAAAGTTATAGGGCAATGACTGAAATAAACCCTCAGTTACTGCAATTTTATTAACTTTTAAAATTCACCATTTCCTGCTCATACATAGTTATTGATTTTTTTTTTAAAAAAACAATGTTCCTTATTTCTTTTGCTGGTTTGCTGTTAAATTTTAACTGCTGCATTAATTCTGGAATTCTCTGTATATTCCTTTTTTAAAATATCCTTTAATTCTGCTTTTATTATTTTTATTATTTTATTATTATTTTTAGAAATAACTGAAGGCAGCAAACGTATCTAGTACTCTGCCATCCTCTTATATTCCCACCATCAACGACCCTGTGAGATGGGTTGGGGTGTGAGAGAGTACTGGCCCAAGGTCACCCAGCCATCTTTCATGCCAAAGCAGGATTAGAATTCACCGTCTCCTGGTTTCTAGCCAGAATGAGAAAACAGTTGAAATAGCCTTTCAAGCATTACTGGGAATAGATTATAACCCTGTGGTCCACAGATAATTTATGCCCAGCTGTTAAAAGTTTGAGCCTTGAGCAATGGCCCCTATTTCAAGAAAGATTGATTCAGAATAATCTATTTTGGTAATTATAATTGACATATGCTTTATCAAGTGTGAGAGGGATCTCGGAGTCCTAGTGGACAATCACTTAAATTTGAGCCAGCAGTGTACTGCAGCTGCCAAAAAAGCCAACTTAGTGCTAGGCTGCATTAACGGGGAATAGAATCAAGATCATGTAAAGTATTAATACCACTTTACAATGCCTTGGTAAGGCCACACTTGGAATACTGCATCCAGATTTGGTCATCGTGATGTAAAAAAGATATTGAGACTCTAGAAAGTGTACAGAGAAGAGCAACAAAGGTGATTAGGGGACTGGAGGCTAAAACATATGAGGAATGGTTGCTGGAATTGGGTATATCTAGTTTAACGAAGAGAAGGACGAGGGGGGACATGATAGCAGTGTTCCAATATCTCACAGGCTGTCACAAAGGAGAGGGAGTCAAGCTATTTTTCAAAGCACCTGAAGGCAGGACAAGAAGCAATGGATAGAAACTAACCAAAGAGGGAAGCAACCTAGAAATAAGGAGAAACTTCCTGACAGTTAGAACAATTAACCAGTGGAACAACCTGCCTCCAGAAGCGGTGAATGTTCCAACACTGGAAGTTTTTTTTTTTTTTTTATTGAAAGTTTTATAAATTTTACAAAAAGACAAAAACAATACAAAACAAAAGACAACATATACAAAAAAAAACTAAACATTACATATATATATATATATATATAAAAACCCCATCCCCCACCCCTCACAAAAACCCTCCCTTCCCCCCCCTGAGCTTCCCAGAGCAGAATATAGGCTTAATTAAAAATTAAGAAATAAAAATAAAAAATTAAATTAAAAAATTTATATTTATATATATATATATATATATATATATATATATATATAAATAAAACTTATAAAAAAGCTATGTGATACTTTTGTATACCCAATCTAAACTGTATAAATTTTATCCATTTGTCCCAAACAGCAAGGAACTTCTCTTGCGTTTGTTGCTTTAAAAAAGCCGAAATCTTTGCCATTTCCGCCAGATAAGCTACTTTAAGAAACCATTCCTGCAATGTAGGCAAAGATTCCTTCTTCCAATATTGTCCTACTAACAGCCTAGCGGCTGTAATCAAATTTAACATCAATACAACCTCCTTTGTATCACAATCTGTAACAATGCCTAACAAAAATAATTGCGGAGTAAATTTTACCCTCCTTCTAAAAATTCTCTGGATATTCCACCATATTTTGATCCAAAATGCTTTTATCTCTCTGCATGACCACCAAATATGATAATAGGAAGCATCCTTATAACCACATCTCCAACATTTGGGTTGCACGTCAGGGTACATAAGAGACATTTTTTGTGGATCAAGGTGCCATCTATAAAACATTTTATAAAAATTCTCCCTAAGGTTCTGTGCTTGTGTAAATTTGACATTTCTCACCCAAATGGTTTCCCAAATGTCCAATGAGACTGGGACACCAAAATTCTGCGCCCATCTAATCATACAATCTTTAATTAATTCCGTTTCTGAGTCCATTTCAACTAATACTCCATAAATTCTCTTGATATGGGTTTGTCTTTGATCCTTGACTTGCTTAATAAGATTTCCATCTTCTCTAAGAAAACCCAATTTACAATCCACCTTCCATTTATCTACTAGTTGCCTATATTGAAACCAAGAATAAATAATATTTTCTTGCGCTAAATCTTCCCGTAATCTTAACTGCCAGTTTTGCCCATCCCATCTAAGTAACTGACTATAAGACACCATGTCCATTTTTACTCCTCTTTTTATTCCTTCTATCGCATGCCAAGGTATAGCCCATAATGGAACTTTAAAATCACTTTTATAATATTTTCTCCAAATCCTAAGTAAAGAAATTCTTAAAATATGAGATTTAAAGACCCAGTCCATTTTTTTATTAAATATTAAATAGGCATGCCACCCATAAAGTAAATCCCATCCCTCTAAATGAAGTATCTCAGGATTTGTCAAATTTACCCAATCACTGATTAATGTTAAGACCACCGCATCGTAATATAATTTCAAATTTGGTACCTTAAGTCCACCCCTCTCACGGAAGTCTTGCATAATTTTAAACTTAACCCTTGGCTTTTTCCCTGCCCAAATAAATTTATTAAGACCCTTCTGCCACTCACTTAAATTAATCTCATTTTTCAAAATCGGTAACATTTGAAACAAAAAAAGAAACTTGGGTAGAATATTCATTTTTATCACTGCAATTCTTCCCATGAGGGATAATTGCAACTTCTCCCAATTCTTCAAGTCCTTCTGTACCCTGACCCACAACCTTTCATAATTATTTTTAAATAATTTTACATTAGAAACAGACAACATCACCCCCAAATATTTTACCTTGTTAACAATCTCAAAACCCGTCAAGTTAGCCAGAATCTGCTTCTCCTGACTAGACATATTTTTAGGTAAGATTTTAGTCTTATTTACATTAATCTTGAAACCCGAAACCAAACCATAATGATGAATCAACTGTAATAAGTTTACTGCAGAATAATCAGGTTGCGACAAAGTAACAACCAAGTCATCCGCAAAAGCTCTCAACTTATATTCTTTTTTGTTAACTTCTATTCCTTTAATTTCCTGAGACTCTCGAATTTTGATCAATAATATTTCCAGTGTTAAAACAAACAACAATGGCGATAAAGGACACCCCTGTCTAACACTGGAAGTTTTTAAGAAGAAACTGGACAGCCATTTGTCCGAAATGGTATAGGGTTACCTACTTGAGCGGGGGGTTGGACTTGATGACCTCCAAGGTCCCTCCCAACTTTATTTATTATTATTATTATTAATTATTATTATTATTATACCAAGTTATTAGATGAGAAAATGGTTTGCACTACTCTAAATTAATTTTCTCCAATTGATTGCCCTCTTGATATGCTGGGATCATTGCTCCAGAATTCTCCAGATAAACAAAATGCTTAGTGGGAAATTCTGGGAGCCGTAGTCCCAACACAACTGAAGAAAGTTGACCTGCGGTATCTTTCTGATAAAACATATTGTAGGAATGTGAATATGACTGTTAGAATCATTCAGTATAAGATTGTGAATGACATTTCAATCCTTGATAAGACAGACTCAGGAAAAGAATATTCCCTATGCCATCCCTCTTCATTCTGAGTTTTAGTCCATTATGTTTAGTTGTCAATGGTCCTGGTTAATAGCTGGCAAAACTTGCATTTTGTCCTCTCTAGGGAAGCTGGACAAACTGTGAACTTTGTCCCCCCTTTTTTTTCAGATGTCATTGGTAAAATTAAATATGTTATAAGACTTACTGCAATAATATGTTTAGTCTAATTCTGTGTGCATGATGATCTGAGAACATGTGTGGAATAATTGGCATTAAAAGGTTTGATTGGGAGTTAACTTTCCTACTCATCCTTGAACAATGTATTGTGAAAATTGGGGGGGGGGAAGCATATGGTCAAATCAGCTATTTTGTGGAATAGCTCCACTGACTTCAGATTGTTAATTTCTGTGTATTTGTTTCATTCCAGATGGAGACTCGAAAACGCCTGGCCAAGATTGTACTGGTTTTTGTTGGGCTATTTGCTGTTTGCTGGCTGCCAAATCATGTACTATACATGTACCGGACTTTCAATTATCATAAGGTTGACCCATCCCTTGGCCACATGATTATTACCTTGTTGGCTCGAGTGCTGAGCTTCAGCAATTCATGTGTCAACCCATTTGCCCTGTACTTCCTCAGTGAGAATTTTCGGAGACACTTCAATAGCCAACTTTGCTGCTGCAGCGTGCATCCTCAGCCAAGGCCTACTAGCTACCTGAACAATTCTTCAGCCATTCGAATGTCTTCACTGGAGAACCCTGCAAGGCACACTGTTGCTATGACAACCCTGCTGAATGGGCATACCCCTAAACCAGAAATGTCATTGTGATTAACCAGTGCAACATCTGACCTCAAAAAGAGATTATTTTAATTATCTTTCTTGTGGCTGGCCTCAGTTCCTTTAAAAAGCCAATATGTTCTAATCTAAGGAATATCATATTTTGCTCTAGGGATAAGTATTTATTAATCATCTTCCTATCACTGTTGTAAGAAATGAAGGATATCATGCTTTACTTACTCTCAAGTAAAGAAATGCTTCTAAGCTTATTGTCCTAAAAAGTTGAACATAAATGAAGTCTGAAAAGGGCATACATGCTCAGCTGCCGCTTCAAGGGAATTAGTCTCTGCTTATGTCATCTCCGCTGCGCTTAAACAACGGGCCTGCTAAAAAATAAAAATGTTACTTGGCTATTCCCTTTAAAATGATTTTATTTATATTGGATGACACACCTAAAAAAGAAGAGCTTGGGAAAGCACCATCCAACCTGACTGATTAGCTTTTTGCATGACGGCAGTTGGATGAGGGTCAAATGGCACATCAACACATTATGAACTGTACACTTTGAATTAAGTAACACTGAAATGAACAATAATTTCTGCAAACTCTGGGAGATAGTGGAGGACAGGTGAGCCTGGCATGCTGTGATCCATGAGGGCAAACAATTGGACATGACTTTGCCACTGAACAACAACACTGACAAACTGGACAATTGCCCTATAGATTCATCTTTTCTTTTTGCTCTGTACTGCATATTTTCAGCTCTAGGCTATTCAAGTTGACTGACCAGCAGCAAAGAACACAAAACAATGAATCTGTATCTGAACAAGACTTTGTTGACATCAACAGCCTGTTTACAGCCAGGAAAGCTAAGCACAACTTCTGTGAGACATTTCACAGCTTCAGAGTGACAAAGGGAAAAGTGCAAGGCTCATTTGTTTTAAATTCTGATAATTATGCTCATCTTTTAAAGATCTGTATCATATATTCCTGTTGTATGAGGAAGGGAAGCAGTGATAACCTCAGATGCATTAATTCTGCTACCAATGTAAAGTTTTCACTGTTGTCCATGTTTGGATCTTGGAAAACTGGAAAATGAGAAATTGTTTTAGCTGTATATAGAATCTTTGCATTTTTTTTTATAGGAAGCAGATGGAGCCAGGGCACCTGATTGCCAGAGCCAGTTTTCTCCTTCCAAATGGTCCTCTAAATGAGGAAATATAGATGTGCTAAAAGCAGCTTGAAGATAATTCAGAACTAGGAAACTAGTAGAGCAAAACTCTAACTCATTCATTAGTCTTTACCTGATGCTAGAGATGATATCAATGATGGTGAATCTTTTGGGTTAAGTTTGTCAAAAATTCAGAAAATGCCTAACTTGGCTTTACCGGTGTGTCACTCCCAACTCCCAAACAAAAAAACCCCACAATTGTTTACTTTTTTGTTTTTACATGCAGTCTAAAAATGTGTGTGATTCCCCCAAAATTTGCAGCATGCCACTTACTTAGGAGACATGGGGGGCACAGTGGTTAGAATGCAGTATTGCAAACTAATTTTGCCCACAGCCTGGATCTTGATCCTGATGGGGCTCTAGGCTGACTCAGCCTTCCATCCTTCCAAGGTTGGTAAAATGAGGACCCAGATTGTTGAGGACAATATGCTGACTCTACAGTCCATTTAGAGAGGGCTGTAAAGCACTGTGAATCAGTATATAAGTCTAAGTGCTATTGCTATTGCTACCTTCAGGCAGAGTTCTCTTTCTGCTGAGAGGCCTCTATGGACTACCTGAGGCAGCTCCGGGTCACACAGGTCTTCATTTTTGAAGTGGCTTTGGAGAATGGTCTTCTATGGCAGAGGTCCCCAACCTTTTGGGCACCAGGGACCAGTTCTATGGAGGGAGGTTTTTCCATGGACCAGAGGGGGTATGGTTTTGTGTGCTGCCTGCATCCCTTGGATGGGGTTTTCCTTGTTTGTGCGGATTGGTTACTGGCATGCCGGGGCCCGGTACTGGTCCACAGACTGGGGGTTGGGGACCCCTGTTCTATGGCCTCTGAAGCTTCCAAAAACTCTGCAAAAGCATACCCTGCTCTTGCATGCTTTTTTGAGGCTCCAGAGGACATGCCTGAGCATAGTCCTGTTGTACCACTTCTAGGGGGTCCAGAGGCTGCACAAGAGGACACCTCATTCCCACATGCATCCATAGCCTCTGGAAATTGTGTAAGAATAGTTGTTAGGTGTTGGTGAATGGTGGCATGTCACCCAAAACATTTTGGCTTGTCACCTTTGACATTCATGTTATAGGGTGCACCATCACTGAAATAGATCATGATCAGTCATGATCTCTGGCACCTGCAATCATGATCCAGTCACCAAATCCATATGCTGAGCAAGCATATTACAAAGGGAGGATCATGTGAGTCTCCCTGTCCACCCCCCATTCCCCAAACTATGGGAGATTATATTTTTATCTCAGTTACAAGATTACCAGAGTTTGCACCAAACCCCAAGGATGCCAAAATGACAACATGTCTGTGGTGAGGTCATTGTGTAAATCACACAATTACACACTCTCTTCCCAACATCTAATTAAGCACATAAGTGTTATCATTTGCATGAGGACTATATGTGTGCTTTGCCTTTTACCTCCCTTTGTATCGGGTGCAAAATTTCAAGGCCACATGTCAGGGTCCAATTAAACTGATTTACTGCTCACACCTATGCATGATTTAGACCTCTTATGGGACCATAGAGACTCCAGGCCGATTCCTCTTTTAACTCTGTCCCTAGGCCCTGTCAGTCCTTCTTCTACATTCTATATAAGAAAGGAAAGCTTAGCAATAAAAATAGGTGACAAAATTTAATAAACAATTAGAATGATTTAACACTGTGCTATGACTTGACAAGGAAGGATGATCTTGTGGAAAGAAATGAAATTCAGTTTACCATCTTTTATTGTTGCTTTCTGTTCAGCATGCAGAAAAGGCTCATGGCTGTTTATGTGGGTAGAAAAAGAGTACTGTGTTTTTGAAACTTTGGCTCTGCTGCCTTTCTTTTCAGGAGATCAATGGGAGTAAAAGTCAATGTGTTGTGTAGCTTCATAATTTGTGACCTGTCATTGTAAAAATAGTGTCCCATATGGATCAATTTGAATGGATGATCTATAAGTGTTGATATGCAGATTGATGTATGTAATAATCATTAAACATGTTTAAAATAAAATTAGCACGTATGGCTTGTTCTCAGATTGAACAAAATGGTTAAAAAAAATAAATCTCCTCATAAGCTCTGATCCAGAGTGTGTGACTTATACTTAAAGCTACAATCCTTGACAAACTGATCGTACTTCTAAGTAAATATGCATGGGATGGTGCTGTATGTCCTATTTAGAATAATGTGCAAATTTGCTTGTAGCTAGACATCTTTGATATCCACAAGTTTTAGAAGCTTATAATGCTCACCTCAGAAAATAGGCCTGAAGATTCAAACTTCTAACTTTTCCTTCCTTAATTTTCCTCTTTGCTTTTCTTTACTGCTGAGAAAACAGAGTTCTGTAAAATCTGCTTTCTCTCCTCTTTCCCTCTACATCAGAGGTGTCAAACTCACCATGTCACATGACGCGTCACGACGTATCGTGACTTTTTTTGCATTGCTGAAGCTGGGGTGAGCGCGGCCTCCAGATGATGCAACCGACCCATGGGCCGGCAGTTTGACACCCCTGCTCTACATCATACCAAATCAAATCTTCACAGGCCAGTATAAGGAGAGTGGAGTAGAGTCAATTAAAAAGATATACCAGAGGTTTCTTTCTTAAAAAATGAAAAACTAGATGTTACAGTAGAATGTGTGTGTATATATGAAATAGATAGAAAGTTACAAGATTTGACAACAAGAAGACAAGTAGCAGAAACTGTAAGTAGAAATGAAGGACATGTAGATATAATTTTATAGGGGCAAAATGACACATAAGCTCAGGTCAGGTGCAACTCCATAGACAAATGGACACATAGACTAAAAGCAAGGTAGAACTCTAAAAAAAGTAATGGCTTTGTGAAATGTTACTTGCCTATTTCTGGAAATTAATGGCATAAAACATTGTGCTTTGCTATTGTTCAGCTCCCAAATTGGACTGGGACCCTTTTGCTGAAGCGCTTCAATAAAAGTTTTGCAAAAGTCCATCTCTTGTGCCCAACTCTGATTGGCTTCTGTGCCAGGCTGAACCAATTTTGGGACAACAAACTAGATGCTCATTAAGTCTAGTTTATAACAAATTTTAAATACTGTTAGGCTGAATCTGGCAGCTCTGTATGTTGTTATTGGTTGGTATCTAAAAGCAGCAGGAGGGTACAGAATCATCCTGTACATGCTGGGTATTTATGTAGTAATGCTAAGATGAAAATAGAATAAATGCCTCTGTACTATAGGCACTGGAGAAACACATGATCTGTTGTTTCTATGTATCTAGAATAGCCGAGGCATTCTTTCTCCTGATAAGGAATGGTAGTCTTGTACTGTATATAGGAATTCCTGTATTAGCCTTCAAGGGCAATGAGGAGAGGACATAAAATCATGCCAGAGTAATGGCCCTTCAGTGTTTAGGGACTTTAGTTTGGTATGTCATAGGGAAATCAGGATACCTGTTTGATTCATTTGTAATAAAGGTTGGGTTCTTGGCTAGATCCAGTTGGTGTTCTGTGTCTGCTACACACTTTTTAATCAGTGCTTTGGTTCTGGGATCTACTGCAAAAAAAAAGCAATAGTGGTGTTGTGTTTTCCGTTTGTTGGCAATTGACGAAGACACATGGTGAAAACAACAAGCTCTTTATTTCTCTCTCCTACAACTAAGCAAATAGCAAAAGGCACGCAGGCCTTTTATAGTACCTGAAACCTGGACAGTGTAAACCAATAGGAATTGACCATTTTCACAACTTGCACATGCGTACAAAGCTGGCGCCACCCTGTCTGGTTCCGGGCAGCTTTTGGATTGCCCGGGACCATTTGCAACAATTCTGAGCCTACTTTCCTCTTGCAGGCTCAGGACACAACACCCCTCCCCCCTAGATGAAAAACACCTGGCTTATGCACAGGTGCATTGTGCCATGCAGGGAGAGTGGAACACAGATGCATTATTCAAATGCAAGGAGAGTGGAAATGCTCAGGTCTGCACGCAGGCAAACATCTTTCAAAATGGTTATTAACTCAAATAAAATATATCTAAAATCAAAATAGTATATGAGACTCTTATTGAGCGTTACCCCCCCCCCCATTCAGCGACCTCATAGCAAGGTTCCTTATGAGTTGACAGGAACCTCACATAATCTCCTAGATGTTTAGGAGGGCACTTTGCCTGCAACCTTCTAAGGGCTGGTGAGGGTGCCTGGCCTACCTGCTCGCCTACCAGGCTAGGCAGGCCAGGACTTTGATGCCCCAAATACCCAGGTGACCTACCCAGCTGCTGACTGGCTGGACCCTCTGAGTCCAAGCCAGTGTCCCCTTGGAGGGATGGAAGTCCCCGGGTCCACAATGGACTCCTCTTGGGAACATTGTCCCTCGAGCCCAAGGCCAGCAGTTGGAGAGGTCTGAGTGGTGGAAGTGCCCCAGTACTCCGTAGCCCCATGCATGTGCCAGAGTCAGGAGTCGCCTCCATGGCAAACCTCCTTGCTACTGACTTCCTTTTTGGAGCAGTAGCTGAATTATGAGAGTGGCCCTGATGGAATTCCCTTTCTATGGCTGTGTTTGATTTATGTGGATACCCCCAGTCTGTCTCCCTGTCTGGAGCACTATCTGATATGTTTGAAAAGTGTGGATATCCCCGGTGTGACTCCCTGCCTGGAGCAATAACAGATGTGTGGGGTGACGCCCCCTTCCTGGGAATTCCTGTTCGGTGCACTTGCAGAAACTTGGGATGACCCCCGAACAGCCTCAGCAGCTTGTGAGGCCCTGTTAGGCCTGGGAACTTGTGACCCAGAATGCATATTCTGGTCCTCCCCCCCCCCAGAGCAGAGCCAGGAGCGGAAACTTGGCTGTCCAGCTTCTAACACAGTTGGTCTATGTGTCTGCAAAGAAAGCGGCCATCCTCCAAAGCTACTTCGTATGACAGCGGCTCAGAGACCTTGCAGACCACTGCTGTGACTCAGAGATGTCCAGGCTCATAGTTTCTTGCCCAAACCGGATCGCCCACCTGAAG